AGCAATATTCTAAGTATGGACAAATAGTAGACTTACAGATATGCAAGTTAGATTACGGAGAGAAAAAAATCTCTTGCCGGGCACATTGAACCGGCTGAGCTAAAAATTGATTCAATATAGCCTATCTTAATATATGGTCTATTTTCGAAGATGGCCTCGAGCCTAAAGGAAGTATGGAGTTGAATAAAGTGTAATGTAATACTACATCTCGTGTTTTAATTAGTAATGAACTATACGCTTAATCATACTTACACAGGCACACCCGAACAGACGCCTGTATGTCTTTATATATTGCCATTCAATTTATTGTAAAAGATTTTAGGCCGTATTTGAAATAATAAAATAATGTAATTTATAAATTCATCTTCTTACTTTGCCGGATTGAGACTTCAATTCCCTCTCGCGAGATGAGAATCATAAAATTCTACTTAGTTCATCTGCTTTTTTCCTAACAAACAGTCGTTCAATTTGTCATTCCTTCTTGCCAAATTCTTTTTCACTGCAAATAGATTCGAAATTTATGAATGGGAAGAAGCCAATTCTATCAGCAGAGGAGAAACATGAGTAGAAAATAATTATAATTTGACTACCAATTTGGATTTCGAGAAGTTAAAAATATAACAAAAATAGGCAATTTGTGATGTTTTTTTTATTTATATTTATGAAGGACCTTAGCCTAATAATGATATGTAGGTGTCAGTGTGTCTTTTCGCTTCCTTCATATCTTTATGTTTATTTATATTTGACACATTTGTTATTGATCCGTTCATTCATCCTGAGAATTATGTTCTGATTAATAAAACACTTTGCTTGCATAAGTTTATTTGCTTAAAACAAACTTTATTTCACTTCAGTATTTCTCAATATCTATCTATCTATCTATCTATCTATCTATCTATCTATCTATCTATCTATCTATCTATTAGCTGTCCATCTAGCAGTGGCAATTAAGAGTAATCTATCTGTCAGTGCCATTTAAGATCTATCTATCTATCTATCTATCTATCTATCTATCTATCTATCTATCTATCTATTTCAGACTTACGGCCATGTGAGGTTGAAACATCGGTTTTAGGCCGATCAGTGAAGCTAAGCAAAGTTGAAATTCGCCAGTACTTAGATAGGTGACCACTTGGGTGTGCCGGAGTTGAAATGGATAGCGGCTCTGATTGACTAAATGGATATCCGAGATTGAATTCCAGTCGGGTTCGTTATATTATCTCATGTGCAAAAACACTTGGGAAAGATATGAATACACTCTTTCACCACCCCAGCTATGAGTTAAATTGTAAGACAGGCACCTGGAAAACATGTTGATTTCAAAAAAATGTTTCTGCTTTAAATATCATCACGGAGGTAAGTAATCTGTAAAAACAAAAACAAATCAATCAATCTATCTATCCCAAAATCTCTCTCTCTACACACACACACACACACACACACACACACACACACACACACACACACACACACACACACATATATATATATATATATATATATATATAACCTAAAGAGCCAGACAAACCTACGTAAGTTTCCCCCACGCGGATCGTCAAGGTAAACGTAGTTAACCCTGACGATCAGCGTAGGTGAAACCTAGGTAGCTTTGTCTGGCTCTTTAGGTTGACTTCGCTTGCTCTACTTAGCGGATGGAGCACTTTGCTTAGTTATTTTTACTTTACTCGTGTCGGAGGTTTTTTTTTCTTTGGACTCTGAATTTTAATTCTAGACGATTATTTTCGCCGGAAATAGGTATTGTTAGTGCTTTATTTTTTTTTAACCTTTTTCCTTGGGTATTAGTTTTGTTCATTTACAAGCTAAAACACCTAAGGAGTTAAGCTGCTTATATTTATAAGGTTATTATTATTATTATTATTATTATTATATATATATATATATATATATATATATATATATATATATATATATATATATATATATTAGAGAGTTGAGTGGAAGGGGTTTAAGTAAGAGAAATATGAATGTTGTCGGATGTCTAATGCATAAAGATACATTTCGCTATGACATACACACACCATAGACGGTCTAAAGTTTTCAACTAATATTATCTATCTATCTATCTATCTATATATATATATATATATATATATATATATATATATATATATATATAGATATTTTTTGGATGGATAGATTGATTTGTTATTTTATGGATTACTAAATTTTATGATTATATTTTAATTCGAAACATTATATATATATATATATATATATATATATATATATATATATATATATATATATATCAGGGTGATCGTATCTATTCTCAGACTGACCATTCAATCTGTTTACATGTATTAGTGTAATGCACTTTATCTATTCAAATATATCTTTCCATATATTTAAATTTTACCGTATCTATTCTGAACTGGTCATATCAATGTCTCTCTCTCTCTCTCTCTCTTCGTGCAAAAAACCCTGTGAATCGCGCAAATTCATATTTCTCTCATGTATAAGCCAAACAGAAGGTCAGTGAGAACCCTCTTCGTTAGTATACAGTCTGAGAGAAGAAAAATCGCAAATAAATCTCGTTTGAGAAGGGTGGTATTGACCGTAGGCTCCGATATTATCCCGATGAGGCTAAACTCCGAGACACTAAAACACGAGGTGATTTCAGAAAATTGCTGGCCGTCCATGTACCATTTCTGCGTTATCGAAAAAAAGTGTGGTTGGTTCGACACAAGGTTTCGGTTATTCGATCAAATCCTCGGTCTGTGTAATCTAGCAGTTGACTTGTAAACTTTTGAACTACTGAACCTAGATCGGTCGAAATCGATTGGAAGGTCTATCGTAGGAATGCAGGATTTTAAGTGCAGACTAATAAGTTTTACTACCAAATCTATCTTTAATTAGCCCTATATTTGTAGTTAAACAATTTGGATCAAATAACATTTTACGGTGGAGTAATGGATAGCGGCTCGGATTGAGGAATCGAAGAGCCGAGTTCGAATCCCTGTCGAATCCATTACATTCGCTTACGTGCTAATACCGTTGGGAAAGGTATGAATCCTCTTCTTCTCCCCCAGCTATGGATAAATGGCAGAATAGACCGGGTTTTAGAACCTTGGATGGCAACTGGTCTGCTGCAGATAGAAATGGCAACCTACTGCGAGAAAAAAACTGTCCTGTCAGTTATGTATCGAAAGACACATGATCGCCTAAGCATGTATCCCGCATGTCATACAACTGATTAAGTGTAGCTGTATCGTCACATATATAGAGCGAAAGTTAGGATCGGATTCACAACTCAGTCGTTTCTGAGTTAACGATACAAGCTTGCTAATAATTAGACCACAGGAAAGTAAGCAAATATATATATATATATATGAATTCCTTTTATTCATATACTAAAAGGCAAAAATAAACCTTCATATAACCATTTGGCTCTTGGATTTGGTGCAATGGTTAGCTAGCTAGTTTCGGTAAATCAATTAAGACTGTGTAATGAGCTCGATCCTCAATGAGTGCTCCATACTTTTGACCTTGTGCCACATGTAATCTACGCTTAGTAAATTGCTATAACATAGCTATCTGTGATTTTTGTAGTGGTAAACACGCACAACACTTTGACGTCAAACTGCTGTAGTACAGTCCGACCTCTTTAAACCGTTAACTCTCATGGTCCGGTCATTTTGTGAATCAGTCGCCTTAAGTAGCTCCGAGGGCTGCGCCATAACATTTAAAATTTTCTGCAGAAGCCGACAGATTAGACTGTTTCAGCGATACTGTCTTACTCAATTCTTATGTATAGCTGCATCCATTACAGGGATTATATATATTAATTAATATACTTATCTGGCTTATGTCGGAGGGTATCCCCTAGACGAGGCCATACCGAAGGGCAGAATCTCGTCTTGGGAAACTGACCCCGTTTTTACGTGGTCTATAGGGAATTTTTTCACGAGCCTACTGGCTCGGATATCCCACTTTAAACTCGGCATTGTGTCACATTTTGCTGCGTGGGGCAGCGGGTAAATAATTATATTAATTTTTTGCTGTTAGGGTTTTTTTTTTAACTCATGTATTGCATGAAGAAAAACCTTGTCTGCGAGCATTAATCATTGTTGTATTTCCTGTTTTCAGCTTTGTTCTACCTTTGATAACCCAGCAGTATATATGCAAAATGAGGTGGCAACACAGTTCACATAGGTTTTTTTTTAGGAATGATTTCTGTCATCCGGCATTTACTGTGATCCAGCAGTGTCCTGGTCCCAATGGGGTCGGATCAAAAAGATCGGACGATATTATCGAATACTCTAAGCGCGTGGTCCTGTGTTTCGACCATAAAACCTGGAAGTGAATCTTACCATTATCGATTGGTAAAGGAAGATATATTTTCTTTTTAATCCTTTCATATAAGCAAGGTGATTAGCCGACTAGAACGCAGAGTGGTTACAGGGAGTGAACGAAGATGAGAAGACTTTAGTGGGAAGGACTGAGGAAAGAATAAAAAGGAATCTGTGTTCAAAAAGACAGAAGATAGTGAGTGACGTTGCATTTAAAATATTTTGAAGATTTTAATTGGTAAGGAAGCAAGTAATCGGAAGAGGTTTCCACGAGTGAGAATTGCGAGAAAAGAAACTGTTACAGTCGGCTGGATTTAACTAATTCAACAATCAGTTCTGATTGTCAATTTGCTAGGACGCTTAAATCCTTGCATGGTTGAGGGCAGACGATATCAGTGTGCAGCTAAGTTGTAAAGAAGAGTCTGAAACCTGTACTACAGTTTTATCCATCTTGGAAGTGAAATTGGATAAGCGAATTGGATTCAGAATATGTGGATAGTTACGCTAGAACGAAGCCACAATTAATCAGAACGTGGTTTGAGTTCATTGAAGGCTGGAGAGTACAATAGCCGAAGCAATGTGATGACAACAACAGAGATGGAGATAGCAGTTCGCGTGTAAATATTGCTTTATGTGTTATTTACAAAATCTTACATGTCCTGGATATTTGAAGAAATTAGATCCGGCAGGAAGTCCTCTGATCTGGTTTTGAGGAGCGAGGAACCATCTCTTAATTGCTATTGTTCTCATGTACACCCTGACTCGGGTTGGAATCACCCGTTTGGGTCCCAGTTATAGACAACCTAACAGCATGGCCCGACGATTCCCGTTCTTGTTCGTACGATTCATACAGAAAACGCTATCACTTGACTTAAAATATTTTTGCCCTTCCTTGCCTTTAAAGGAGTGCCTTTTGCCGTGCTGATGTTGCTACATGCCTTACTTCTTGCCTATCTCACACTGCGAATTTTTTCTAAGCTCTATACTAAACATTAAATCTGTTACAATAAAGAACTAAACAAAATCAACACAAAACGATCAGCTTTAAAAAAGGACTCGTAACTGGAAAAACCGAATAAAAAAGAATGTTAACAACAAATACGTTTTAACACCCAACCCAGTTCTGTGGAATCAGAATCAACGTTAAGTTTAAGCAAGCGAATGACTCAATTGGAGTAAAGTGCCATGCAGATTCAAATTTTCCCCACTTGTGACGAATGAAGCTATCGATTTTTTTTTGCATGCTAGCATACTAGTTAACATTCGTGACAGTTAGCTGTTGGCTCTCACGCTGGTCAATAAAATCATCCTGCCTATTTGTGGCAGCAAGCTATAGGCTCTCACTCTGGCCAGTTCAAAATGGCCGCAAACTACATGAAAACTGCCGTAGAAGCATGAAAACTCGATTATTTCTGCTATCGATGGGAGTTGAGAAATGCAATGCCGGTCTTGGCCTTCCGGCTAACTTGTAGCATGTGCATGTAGATTTTATTGCAAATCCGTCGAAAATTACGTCCGTGCATTCATTACACACACATACACACATCCTGCCTTTTATAGATATAGATAATGAATCCACAAATTGGGGTCAAAACACTATAAAAAGTGGAGAAATACATTTTTATGGGGTAAGTGCCAGCAATACATTTTCATAGTAAAAAATAACCAACAATTCGATTTCGTAAAAAAAAGAAAAATTAAAAATAATATTTTTTGTAAGGAGAAAAAAAAATTGTTAGGACCAGCAATATATTTTTGTAATAGAAAAATTGTCAGCAATTCATCATTTGTAAAGTGAATTACTAATACACGGAGGAAAACTAAATTTCGGTATAAAATGACCTATAAAGAGTTGACATGCCGTAAAACAAACAAAACAAATATATTACAAAAAATCGGAAACGGTAGCCGTATATATATTGAAACGCAGATCCAGATCAAATAGATTTGTGCATGGCCACTGTTCTTCTGCTATGAGCCCTAACCTTTCATGACGTTGGCGATCATGACACTCCAAGACTTCCTGTTCTTGTATCTCTTAGCAAGGTCTACCTTTTTGCTACCTTTTTGTTATCTCTCGTAATTCCACTTCGGCAAACAACATCTATCAGTTTAAATAAGTCATCGTGACCGAGCCTATGAGCGTACTTGTTCAAAAACAGACCACTTTGGATTTTTCACCTAAGGAACGCTCAACATTATCTGTTATGTACCATGTCACCTTGAAGCGATAATGGATCTCCACAACATCCTGCTTTAGTAGCACTTAGTAAATTTAGCCTTTTTTTCTATATCTTGTAATCCCTGTTGTGCCAACCATGGTAGCGATCAGCATAGTTGCTGTATAAATCACAGGTTACCTCTGTGGGTGATGAACAAGCACAAAATACATTGGATCAGACCAATGTAACAGGGAATACATAGGCATCATAGAAAACTCCTGTCTCCTGAGATTGGTAGATGTCGACTACCACTGGTTAAAACATGAATATATCAATGTTGAAATCAATATATCAAAGTAAAAGTAACTGAAATATTGTTTACTGTATTCTTTAAAGTTAATTTAATTTTGTTGGAATAGTAAACAAAATAATTATAAAAAAAAGATAGAGAAAAGTTTTGACGTAGATTAAGGAGATAATTTGAATTAAATATTAAATTTAACCAAACTGTAAAATAATGTTTAGTTCTTAAACAGGAGATATGAACTCATACCCTTCATATATACAGTGAGAGATTTTCCACGCAGCAACGCCTACACTAGTTGATCATGCAGCCTACAAGCAGATAAAACTCGTAAAATAACGGATTGCGTACCATTTTGAGAATATTCGATCATTTGTTTAGGAGATATACCACGTGAGGGCAAACACTCACAAACACACACGACCACACATGCATCTCTCTCTTTCTGTCTGTCTGTCTGTCTGTCTGTCAGTCTGTCTGTCTGTCTCTCTCTCTCTCTCTCTCTCTCTCTCTCTCTCTCTCTATATATATATATATATATATATATATATATATAATTTTAGGATATTAAAACACAATATGTTAAAATCGCTTAAAATTGTATATATATATATATATATAATTGAATATATATATATATATATACCCATATATATGTGTGTGTGTGGGTGGGTACGGGTTGAGTGATGTAGATATGTAAGTATGCAGGGAAAAGCTGATTACT